GCAGCAACCAACTGCGAATAATGACAAACCAGACTTCCAAGTAGCAGGCTGCTTTGCCCACTGTACACTGCCAGATAAACTCAGGACAAAAGCATCCTGCTGCACCTCCTGCCGATCTCCATTAACCCCTGCTGCTGCTTATTATCTCCTCGGGGCTCCTGTAGTACAGCAGCCATGCCAATACTTCTTAATGAATCTGTCTCTGCTGATGTAACACTGCATCTGCACAATATCCACACAATTGGTTACTATGCAATCGAAAGGTCAACTATAGGCAAACCTGCATTCACAAGAAGTGCATTTTAAAAAAAAAGTCTGAAAATATCACATTAAGGCCAGTTTGCAGTTGCTGTACCTTCAAGTTGCCATTCAACAAAAATCTTAACACAACTTGTACGGAGTTCTTAAATCTACTATATATTATTAGCACAATGTGTGTATTAAATTTTGCTTTTTAAAAATACGTCATCTGCATTACAATTTTTTCAGCCCTCTAACAGGCTGTTTATAGAATGGCAAGATGGAGACTTGCTCCCAATATCCGATAATAGCATGGCTGAGACGAAGATTTTTAGCACAGATAGGAAGAAATGAAGGTAGGGAAACAAGAAGAATAAGAAATTTGGATAATAATTTCTGTAGATCTCAATGGTAGTGCAGATTTGGCCATGATAAATGCCTATTAGCTTTGCTTGTGTATAAAATGAAGCTTTGTCAAACAGGGAGAGCATATTGTTTTGAAAACATTTTAAACTATGTGGGGAAGAGGCTGGGGAAATTAATTTCAGGTCAGCTATTGTGGCCATATCAATGGAGAGTAATATCAACAATGTGGTGAATAAGTCACAATAATAATATAGCAAGATGGTCAAAGAAAATAGAACTATCTGCATGCAGTTTGTCTAGACCTTATCAAATAGGACAACACTGGAGTTGCACAAAGGCTTAGGCAAAAAATGAACTTAAAAAATGTGAGTTTTCAAAATGTTTCGTGTTTCTTTTCTCAATGCTTGTGCATTAATAACAGGAATATGCAGCACAAAACTAACATCAAAAAAAGGAACTGAGTAAAGAGATGTGAACATATAGGGAAGGCAACAGAGTAGGATCAAATCTTATCATAAATTGTTAAATCAGCATCTTACCAACCAACCAAGCCTGACTGAGTGAAGCAGTGTTACAGTTGTATGCTAAAACCCACTTCCCTCCCCCCGGCAAACATCACAGTAATCCTTCACAAGAAATGGATACAACTGTTGATTCCTTAAACACAAAGTCTGACTATTAAGCTGATGATTCCAGGTATATTGTTTCAAACTAAACTTAAATCAGTTACAATGCTTTTAACAATTGGTGATCTGCCACGAAGATTTTGTTTCGCAAAATGCATAAAACTCTTCAAAACAGACTTTCTGTTGGGATTATATTCAAAGTAATGGATAAGGTTTGAAAAAAATTAAACTGTGCCGAGTTCCTTTTCTCTTCACCAGAAAGCAGATTATTTATTTCCCAATAGGGACACAGGTAGTGTATAAAAGAAGAAAGAACCATTTTGAATTCCTAGTCATACACATTCCTCACTATCATTACATGCATCATAAAGTCTCCGGATGTCTGTGGATACGTCTGTCAAGTTAAGATAAATTAGATACTCGAGGATAGTGGCTTATCCTTATCACATCAACGTGTGAAAAAACACCACACATTCTCACTACCTGTGAAATTTCCTTGAGCAAAAGATTGTGGACTACTATTTGGGCATGCAGACTTTTAATGTGGGCCTACTTATTTGCTAAAACATACAGGGAAGAACCTATTTGAATATTATACTAAATTAGAGGACCTTGTGGCACAAGTGGGTTGAATGGCCTCCTCCTGTATTGCAACCATTCTATGAATCTATAACATATGAGATACGCAACAGCTATTTTTATTTCTTTACATTAACTGTGGCACCTATAAATACAATTTTATTGCATTTTGGAACTTATTGCATTGTTGCAAATGTAATCTTTCATTGTTTGTAAAAATTAGAATACTGCCATAAATACAAATTTTTTATAGCTTTGCTAAGATGCTCAATAAAAGAGGTTTAATTAAATAATTTAAGTAGCTTTTGAATTTATTTGGAGGAGTTGGTTATGAAGTAGGAATATTTCAACTATTAATCTTTTAAAAATCCCTTCATACATAGACCAAAACTTTTTCTTGCTCATTATTTGAGCATGATACTTTTCCCAGAGGCCAATAAAGTAAGATACAAAGAGTACAGTGGGTTGGGACATGTGTGGAACAGAGCTAAATAAAATCAAAACCTAAGATGGTATTATCCTCCACTCCACAGTGGCTGCACTAGTCATGAGAAAACAAGCTGAATACCTTAAGGAATTTAACCTAAAAAGTTCAGCAATGAAAACTGACATGCATGAAAACAAACAAAAAAAAAACAGCCTTGAATAATTCCAGAAGTTCTTAAACTACTTCAATTGGAACAATTAAATCAAGCATATGCACAAGAGTTTAAAAGCGTGCAAAACTTATGGCGGTTAACATTTTAACGCATTTACATACAAACCTCTATCTTATCAGTTTTTGCATCTCCCCAGTACATTTTTCTTTCTTTGTAATCCAGGGCCAAACCGTTTGGCCAGCCCAATGAAGTGTTAACAAGGATAACTCTGTCTGATCCATCTAAAGCGGCACGTTCTATCTTTGGAATCTCTCCCCAGTCTGTCCAGTACATGTGCCTGTTTGGAGGAAACAAAGACAAATGTGGCATTGGCTGCTTATTTTTTAAAGCAAAAATGAACAAAATACCAACTACGATTGCTTATCATCTTGGATTTTAAAAGGGGTGAGGAAACAAAATATTACAGGATACTTGCTACAATGTACATTCTAACACACCTATACTGTCATAAATAGAAACAGGGCTATGGCTGAAGGCCCTTGCAGTCAAATTTTGATATTTCTATCTGTCCAGCCTACAATGTTACATGAAATAAACTAACACTACTTTCCATGATAGGAGTTCACAGCACCATTAAATTTTACAAGACCCCTTATGATATAAAACAGTGATTTCTTTAATGTTTGAATTTTCTCTCCCCTATGAAGAAGAGCTTCTAAACTCAAAAACACAGGTGAATTTAAGCTTCATCAACAATCAGATTTCAGCAAACAAAAAGCTTCCCCCCAAAAATATGCAAGAAATATTAAATAAGCTCTTACCCAGACATTGGGTCAAGCACAATTGCTCTTGGTTCATCCAGATCCTCAGAAATTAGAATCTTGCGCATTGTCCCATTCAATCTAGTTACTTCAATACGGTCTGTGCCAGTATCGGTCCAGTACAGGTTTCTTGCCACCCAATCTACAGCAATGCCATCGGGGTGGTTAATTTGGGAGGTGACAACAAACTGACTTCCTGAGCCATCCAGATAAGCACGCCTGATAGCACGTACTTCATCATCAGTCCAGTATATATACCCTTCCACTGGATCATAATCTATAGCAATTGCATGGCGGATATCATCCAGCTGTAAGATGACATCTGTAAAATCAGGAGTATCTAGAGATATCCGCCTTAAGTCAGTTCGTCGAGCCAACAGCAATAATTCAGAGGCACCTTAAAAAAAAATTGTTTTTAGAAATACATAAGTTGACAACTGGCATCAGTTTGTACCCTATTGACTGTCTTGCAAGCTGCTCAATACAAGATTAACCTGAACAGAAATTTCATGGTATTTAGTCAAGGCAAGGGAAAAAACACACTTACCAAATAGAAGGACAAGAAAGACACAAATCAGACAGAAACAGACTTAAAAATGTGCTATAATATAATTATCTCTTTACAAGCATTTGATTTCACTTGCTAATAAAATCTTTTAGGAATAAAGAGCTAAACTATTTCTGGTGAAGCAATTTGGTTTGTACAGCTGTGCGTGACCAATGGGGTACCATCATTCAGCTTCAGATACTTTACTCTCAGCCTTGGAGCAGTTTTATTGCTTTGATTGATGACAAAAGCAGCTTTGTTGCTGAGAAGCTATGGCTAAAAAGCCTGTTAGATGCATATAAGTCATGACTCTATGGACCATCAACATGACACAAAATAACTTACTTCAATTGTGGTGTCCTATTGCCATTAGAAGGAGCAAGAGGAAGTATTAGTAGTCTAGCTCAACGCCTTCTAGTTTTACTATATTTTTAATTGCTTTTAAACATGGCTGATTTAAAAAAAATGTCTGTTTATAAAATAAATATTAGGTTGAAAGTCTAGGGTATATAAAAATCTGAGTGTAAGAATAGAAACAGATGTACGTGACGCACACTGCATTGTCACAGTATCTTGTGAAGCAATTTTTACTTTATAGGAAAATATTGGAAGTTTTAATTGACAAATGATCCTGTTCAAAAATGTTATATTTGACAAAATACATATTCCTGATAATGCTATCTTGGCAATTTGCATCTTTATGCTGATTAATGAATTCTCCATTACAGACACAATTTGGCATCATTACCACTATAATCCTTGTTCCTGGGAAAATGCCAATTGGTGGTGTCATTATTGCAAGCTGTGCAGATTGGATATGGGCTTTATTGAGGGATAATTCAGTGGCAGCATTTAGTGAGGAGTCCAACTGGCCTACAAAAGGACAGGGTAATGTTAACAACATATAAGCAGTGAATCAATTAAAACTGTAAACAATTAAGGACCACTTTTTTTTTGTCTCTGAATCTCTACGGCTATCAGAATAAGAAATATCCATGAGATTCAACTAATATACATACTCCACCTTTTGTAGTCTGTGTTGAGCTTTTACCAGATCAATCTGATCATTTGGGAGGTTCTTTCTATATTCTCCCACCTCAATGGCAATAGGGAATTTTGATGTATCCTCAGCCAACATTTTAGGATATATTCTTGTTTTTTAGCAATACCAAATGTTTTACAGGATTCCGATATACCTATGGTGGCTTTCCTTTTGTTATCAAACAGACATTTGAAAAATCAGGGCTGCCCTCACATGTTCATCTCCTAGCAACAAGAATCAGTCTCCCTACAAAAAAAAATTCTTTTATGGCAGTGTTTTTATTACACAAATTTCAGTGCGGATGAAAGAAAACTCCGTTTTGCATATCTACAAAACTTCTTCCACTGCTGTAAGTTTCCATTTATCAGGTTTCATGCTGTATGCAGGCTTTCGCTGTTGGAATGTAAATAGCATGGTCTAGTCGTATCAATGGCTCATGTCAGTCTCTATTAGAGACATCTCAACCAGGCGGCCAATGCTTGCACCATGCATGACCAAACATGCGCTCTCATTTAATTTAAGAACTGAGGGAAAAAGAAAACAGTGAAGGTACAGATGAATGAAGAATTGTTCTTGTATAAGTCACAGGGCCACAGAACAAAAGACACCTTCTCCTTGCAGTGGGCAGAATACATGCAAAAATGGCCTAGTTGTAAATCCTGACTATTCACAACTACAGGTTTCCATAGTTGCTGTTATTTGCCTAGGGTCAGCTCACCTCATCTTCTATAGCAAAGATCATCAATCAATGCCAGGAGGTATCCCAAAACAAAGGTTACCATTTTACACTCAAGTCAGCAAAACGCATTATTTGTGGGACACAACTGACTCAGCATTCAAATAACGAGATAAATGAGATTACTACTTGCTGGGGAGGGCAAAGAGTGAGGTATTTTTCATTAACTTTTGCTTAACATATTTTAACAAAAATTGTTCAGAATATCTTATCTTAGAGCAGATGTTGTGTAAAGTCCAACCTGTTAACAGATGCTGCACACACACTCGGCAGATTTAACACCAGTAAGGAAGTACAAAAACATCAGAGTTAGGCCGAAGCTATGACAATAGGTTGTAGAACCAGGGAAGATACAGATCCTGCACTTGGCATTCCAGCTTCCCTGACTAAATGACTCTACCTCTGGACAAAAAGGTCCTGGTTGCGTCCCACCTTCCCTGGGAGTGTCATCACATGTCTGACCTGGCTGATTAAAATCCCAAGGGTTCTTGAAGAGGAGTGGCTATCACGTTTGCTTCACACGGAAAAAGGTCCCCAGTACGGATCTGGGCAAAAGCAGCATTATTTTAGTATCCTTGTGTGAGGGGGAGATATATTGTTAAGGACACAAAGGTGGTATCCCTCCTTCTGAGCCAGAAAATCCAGGTTCAAGTCCCACCTGTGCTGGAGGTATGCCTGAACAGGTTGATTAAAATGACTATAACTTGAGAGCTCACGTGGTACAGTGGCCCTTTGCCTATCTGAAGGCCTGTGATCAAGACCCACCTGTTCCAGAGCGGTGTTGTAACACATCTGAACAGGTTGATTTTTAAAAAAAGCAGGGTTCTTCCTCAGTGGAAAGCTGGCTTTTGGACAAGGTAAGGGTCTAGAATGGAATGCATGTGTTAAATGATAGACTTAAAATAAAACCTTTGTAAATCTCTGAAAGTTATTTTCTGCCTAATTCAACACGTGGATATCGACCTACTACGTGTGGGTTTTCACCAACATACCCACTAATTTTCTTCCTTCTGCATGGACCGTTGTGGTCTGTGCTTGGCAGTAATTTCCGGAACCAGAAGGTAATGCTGCAAGTGGCACTAACATGCCAAGTACACACCTTCGGAGCAGCTGTGTAGCCACATAGCTTAGAGGGAGCTGGGTGCCTCTTCATTATTACATAAGAACGTAGAACTAGTAGAATAAGCAATTCAGCTCTTCCAGCCTACTCCACCATTTGATGTAATCGTGGCTGATCTCATCTCAGCTTCAACTCCACTTTCCTGGCCAGTCTCCACAGCTCTTCAACCATTATTAATTTTAAAAATCTGTCTGTCTATCTCCTCCTCCAATTTATTCAATGTTCCCAGCATCCCTAATACTCTGGGACAGCAAATTTCACTCTTTGAGAGAAGTAATATCTCGATCTCTGTTGTAAATCTGCTACCTCTTATCCTAAAACTATAATCTCTAGTTCTAGATTGTAAGTGTGGAAAGGATATTTCCTTGTGAGGCACTCAGTTAAAACCCAATGAAATAATTCAACATATTTACAAATCAAACAAACCCTGTTACCCTAATACTAAAGCACTGTACCACAAAGTATAACAAATGATACTTGGAACTCCCAAGTCACAGTGAGATAGGGCATGAGATAAACACTGCCTGTGTGATATAGGAATCTCATTTCTAGGAGTTAGAGTAACTTCAAGTTCACGTTAACAAGGAATTCACTAGCGACCACAGGGACCTCATAGGAAGCACTTGCCTACATAAAGACTCTAAGGTAAGTGACTAAATTAGATATCTAGCTTCATATTTGCTATATTCATACCATCTTTACACATTGTTCCATCTTCGAGTAGCTGGACACCAGTTGGACAGGCACACTGAAAGAAGGGTTTGATTGGAGACATCAGGCACAAATGGGAACAACCACCATTATTGCTGCCACAGGGGTTTGTAGCTGTTTGAGTAACAGAATTGTAAATATTAACACAAACTCAACTTCTGATTTTAGCCAACACTGGGATTTTAGCCAACACTGATTTTAATGCTTAATATCTATAATTAGTTGTACTTCAGAGGTTATACTTTATACATTTTCATGAGACAAGATGCTCTACTGCACAGAATTAACAACCTAATTATATGTTGGCAAATAGTTTGATAAGAGCAGAGTTTTAAAATTAAAAATATCAAAACATCAAATGCATCACTTTAAACTAGTTCAAAACATGTTTGACATAAGTTGTGCATGCACCATGTTACAGAAAAAGAGATTAAGCACTCATGGCAAAACATTTTAAATGCAAAACATAGCAAGCAATCTTAGCCCATCTATTATAATCAATTCAATTGTTTGTAATCAAATCATAAGTGGGCAGTGGTCAAAAAGCAAAACTGCTGCTTGAAATAGCGTAAAATGAGTATCTGGAGAAAATAAATGGCAACATTCAAATATATATTAAAACTGACACATACTAAACAACCATGTTCTATCACCTTTCACAGATTCTCTTTCCCACTGCTCACTACACTATTTTCTACCCCCTCCTTTTGGCTCATATATGCAAAGGTGGACTGCGCTGGAAAGGCAGGCATTTCCCCAGCCATTTAATGCTTACAGCACACAAAAAACAACTTTAGCTGGTTCCCAATGTCTAAGCAAAAGGTGAAAAGAAGTAGCTATCTTCTGCTTTTAACCTTCATCAATTCCGACTTCAGTGCAGCAATAGACAGAAATCTGTATTTTCACACTTCATGCCCTGAAGTTCAGGAATACTGACTTGCATTTGGCTCAAGCACATTCAGAGATTTCTTTCCTTCTTTCTCATTTCTTACCTTCCTGGATCATGCATTGTTATCATTTGCTTTCTGCAAACCATCAAAGGCAGATTAAACAAGCTCCCAGGAAACACACAAGAACATTCTAGGAAAGAAGCTTGCAGCTAATGTTCCCTTTTCTAGTGTCTCTTTAACACTTCCCACGTGTTTCAAACCTGTGACTGTCCTATTAACAGCAATACAAGCTGACATTCCCATACACTACACTATTAAAAGGACCTGCGGGCTGGTGGATCTGCGATAGTGCAAGAGGGGTTGACAGTGAAGGGTCAGGGACATGTGCTAATGGGGTGGGGCGTGAGCCCTGTGAAAATGATTGCACTCCATCTACACTGAGACTAGGCTATACTAGACCTTGAGATAGTAAGAACCTCCAATGCTGTAGTCCGAGTTAACACAGTATGGAGCTGGAGGAACACAGCAGGCCAAGCAGCATCAGAGGAGCAGGAATGTTGATGTTTCGGTTCGGGACCCTTCTTCAGAAATGGGGGAGGGGAAGGGGGCTCTGAAATAAAGAGAGAAGGGGAGGGGCCAGTGATAGCAGGTAGGTAGTGGTGGGGATTGGTCAGAGGTGGGAGGAGCGGATAGGTGGGAGAGAAGACAGACAGGTCAATGAGGCGGGAATGTGGGGGTCTGGTCTTGGGATGAGGTCGGGGGTGGGTTAGCTAGTAAAGGGGAGTATAGGTTGTTAGTGTTGGGGATTGGTCGGGCCTCCGCTTCTTCCTCTCCCGCAGGCCCAACCAGTCCCCTTCCACCGACACCCTTATCCGCTTAACTGAACTTGTCCTTACCCTTAACAACTTCTCTTTCAACTCCTCTACTTCCTACAGACTAAGGGGGTGGCCATGGGTACCAGCATGGGCCCAAGCTATGCCTGCCTCTTTGTCGGATACGTGGAACAGTTCCTCTTCTGCAGTTACAGTGGCCCCATCCCCCACCTCCGCTACACCAATGACTGTATCGGCGCCACCTCATGCTCCCACGAGGAGCTCGAACAGTTCATCAATTTTACTAACACCTTCCACCCCAACCTCAAGTTCATCTGGACCATTTCTGATACCTCTCTCTCCTTCCTGGAACACACCGTCTCCATCTCTGCTGACCACCTCGAAAGTGATATCTATTTCAAGCCCACCGACTCCCACAGCTACCGAGACTACACCTCCTCTCACCCACCTTCCTGCAAGAATGCGATCCCCTACTCCCAACTCCTCCGCCTTTGCTGCATCTGCTCCCAAGATGAGGTGTTCCACTCCCGAACATCCCAGGTGTCCTCTTATTTCAAGGACTGCAATTGCTCCCCTCAGCGATCGTAAACACCTTTGACCGCATCTCTTGCGTTTCCCGCATCTCAGCCCTCACACGCCCTCCCCGCAAAAATAAGGACAGAATTCCCCTTGGCCTCACGTATCACCATTAACCTCCGAATTCAACGCATCATTCTCTGCCACTTCCGCCACCTGCAATCTGACTCCACTCCGAAGGACGTATTTCCCTCACCACCTTTATCTGCCTTCTGTAGGGACTGCTCTCTCCGCGACTCCCTTGTCCGCTTCACACTCCTCACTAGCTCCACCATCCCCGGCACCTTTCCCTACAACCGCAGGAGGTGCTACACCTGCCCCTACACCTCCCCCGTCACCTCCATCCCAGGCCCCAAAAAAAACCTTCCACATCAAACAGATGTTCACCTGCAAACCCGCTAATGTGGTCTACTGTATCCGATGTGGCCTTCTCTACATCGGTGAGACCAAGCAGAGGCTTGGAGACCGCTCTGTGGAACACGTACGCTCGGTTCGCGACAAATGATAACACCTCCCAGTCGCGAACCACTTCAACTCCCCCCCTCACTCCCTGGACGACATGTCCATCCTGGGCCTCCTCCAGTGTCACAATGATGCCACCTGGAAACTGGAGGAACAGCACCTCATATTCCACCCTAGAAGCCTACAACCCAATGGTCTCAATGTGGACTTTACTAGCTTCAAGATCTCCCCACCCCTGACCTCATCCCATGACCAACCCTCCCTCTCTTCCCCGCCTCACTGATCTGTCCGTCTTCTCTCCCACCTATCCGCTCCTCCCACCTCACTGACCATTCCCACCACAACCTACCTGCTATCACCACCACCCCTCTCTAATAATTTCAGAGCCCCCTTCCCCCGCCCCGCCATTTCTGAAGAAGGGTCCTGGCCCGAAACGTCAGCTTTCCTGCTCCTCTGGCCTGCTGTGTTCCTCCAGCACCACACGGTGTTATAATAGACCTTGTACTGTGCAGTGAATTGGATTATTTATTGACCTCTTAGAGAAGGCATCTAGAGATAGCAGCGATCATAATATGACTGAATTTTACATTCAGTTTGAGGGAGAGGGGAGTGGGTCTAAGACTATTTTTAAAAGTTTAATAAGTGGAGTCCTGAGGGCATGAAAGCAGAAGTAAATTAACAAATTATGTTAAAGGACCGGTCAATAGAGAGGTAGTGCCAGACAGAATCATACAGCCTGGAAACTCATCCATACTGACCAAGGTTCCCAAACTAAACTAGTCCCATTTGCCTGCATTTGGCCCATATTCCTCTAAACCTTTCCTATTCATGTACCTGTACAAATATCTCTCAAGTGTTGTGACTGTACCTGCAACTACACATACTCTGGCAGTTGAATCCACATAAAAACCATCCGCTGTGTGAAAAAGTTGCCCCTCAGGTCCCTTTTAAAGCTTTCTGCTCTCGCTTAAAATTATGCTCTATAGTTTAGAACTTCATACCCCAGGGAAAGTACCTTTACCTAATCTATACCCCTTATGATTTTATAATCTCTATAACACACCAACTCTCAAACTCCTATGCCCTTTAACTCAAACCCTCCAGGCCTGGTAACATCTTTGTAAGTCTTTTCTGTACCCTATCCAATGTAATAATATCCTTCCTGTGGCAGACTGACCAGAAGCATTCACAGCACTCCCAAAATAGCCTCACCAGCGTCCTGTACAATGGCAACATGATGACCTGACTCCTTAACTCAATGATGTGAGCAAAGGAGGTATGAGTGCCAAATGCCTTCGTTGTCTACCTGTGATCCAACTTTCAATCCTCAGGTAGCTCAGGAAATTCAGCATGTCCATAAGGATCCTCACCAACTTTTATGGATGCACCACTGAAAGCATACTGCCCGTGTGCATAACGGCCTGGCATGGCAACCACTCTGTCGAGGACTGGAAGAAACTACAGAAGACGTGTGCAGAGCCCAGACCATCACAGAAGCCAACCTTCCGTCTATGGACTACATTTATACTTGTTGTTGCCGCAGAAAGGCTGCCATCATCAAACACCCATTCCACCCTGATAATGCTCTGTTACAACCTCTTCCATCAGGCAAACGATACAGAAGCTTGAACACATATCAACAGGTTCAAGAATAGCTTTTTGAACTGACGAATGGCTCCAACTTCAAATAATATTGATCTTGTTAATGTTGTTCTTGCTTCGTTCATGCCCTGTGTGGTATGCCTCACTCTGTGCAAATTTTTTTCACCCGATGATTTGTCCTTGCTTATTATGATTTGTCTTTTCACGGTTTTTAGGTACATGTGACAATAAATCAAATCAATGAATAATATACCTGAATCCCTAGGTCTCTCTGTTCGACTAAATACATTCTGAAAAGGAAAAGTTCCAAGGATCAGCCCCACACCCATGGTTTACTAGAAAATTAAAGATAGCATCAAACTAAAAGAAAAAGCATATAATTGTGCAAAGACAGTGGAAAGTCATAAGATTAGATAGAATATAAAACAAAGACTGACCAAGAGATAAAGAGGGAAAATAAGAGTACAAGAGAAAGTTAGAAAGAATGAAGTTATTGTTAATGAAGTGAACATTGGTCTAATAGAAAGTAAGACTGGAAAATGTGTCATGAATAATAAGGAAACGGCTGATACACTGAACAGGTATTTTGCAGTGGTCTTCACCTCACAGGATACAAAGAATATCCCAGGAAATGGAAGGGATTGAGGAACTCAAAAAAGTCACAATCACTGGATATGCGGGTACAAACTAAATGACTGGAGACATAGGCTGACAAGGTATTAAAAGAAGTGACTAGTGAAAAGAGTTAGTTGATTTTTAACTTTCCAAACATTCCTTCATTGGGGATGGTCCTGTTACATTGGAAGATAGTGTTCAAAAAGGGAGACAGAAAGCGGGAAACTACAGTTTCCTTAACATCTGTCAAGGGAAAATGGTCGAAGCTAATATTAAATATATATATGCATATACTCGAGTATAGGTCGATCTCATGCAAAAGTCGACCCCCTATTTTTGGCCAAAACATCTGGAACTTTCCGATATATCTCATGTAAAAGTTAACCCTAGTTTTTCCACAGATAACAGATCAACATTTGAGAGCCAAGGTATTCACTTGTACATAAGTGTTACGATGAGGAAATGATCGGTGAGCCTGTAGGAAAGTCAAATGTCTGATAAAAAAAAGTCATCAGAAATAAAAGCTTAAAATGTTATTTTGAAAAACTAAAACAACAGTAGACTAGAGAAAATGGAGGGAAATGGAAGAATTCAGCACAAAATTTTAATATGCATCAGGTCAGAGTCAGGTAATTACTGTAATTCACTGTGCTTTTGTTTTCTTTATTCGTTTAGAGATCAGTTGGGTTTCTGCTAATGATATGGTATTTTGGACTGTAGCATGAATTTCAGCCCTTCAACAGTAGCATCCATGTAATAGTTGACTCCATAAATTTAACCTTAAACAATAGTCTAAAAAGTTCAAGTTTTATATGACCAAATACAGTAAATGCCTTCGATGAAAGGACAGAAGATTGATTAATAAATTTGTTGATGACACAAAGATAGAAAGGAAGATGAGTTGTGAAGAGGACATAGGTAAGGTTGCAAAAAGATATAGATAACTTAAGTCAGTGGGCAAAGTTTTGACAAACAGAGTATAACGCGGGAAATTGTCCATTTTGCCAGGAAGAATAAAACAAGTATATTATAGAAATACTGAGAGCATGTAGATCTTGAAGATGGAGATTTCTCGGTGTAATTCACGCAAGAGGACAGAAGGTCAGCATGCAGGCATGCCAAGTCATTAGGAAAGTTAACAGAATGACGTCATTTCACAGCGAATACAAAAAGGAGGTTATGCCTTTGAAGTACAGAGAATTGGTAAGACCGCCTCACCTTATTTAAGGTAGCATATAAATACATTGGAAACAGTTCAGAGAAGGTTTACCTGAATAAAACTTGGAATGGGAGAAGAGATTTACTTATGAGGAAAAGGTTGGATGGAATAGGCTTGTATTTGCTGGAGTTCAGATGAGTCAGAAGTGACCAAATCAAACGTACAACATCCTGTGGAATCTTGACAGAGTAAATATGGGGAGGAGGTTTCCTCTTACGAAATATTCTAGAACTAGGGATCATTGGTTAAAATATCAGGGCTCATTCATTTAAAACAGAGATTGGCAATTTTTTCCTCCAAACATTGTATGCCTCTGGAATGCAATTTATGAAAAAGTAGCAGAGGCAGAGTCATTGAATGGTTGTAACCAGGCGACAGACAATTGTCACGAGGTTGAAAGGCTATCAGGGATAGGTGGGAATACACAGGTTATAATTAGATTAGCTACAAACTTCTTGAATGATGGAGCAGGCTAAAGGGGTTTAACAGCCTACTTGTGCTCCTAATTTATATGTCTGTATAAACAGTGGTGTACTGGGGCCTCAACTGCTAAACATGCTGATGCTGCAAAGATGGGTAAAAAAGCAAGTTGTAAAGAGAACTTAACAAATCTACAAAGGAATATACATAGGTTATGCTCACAGGCAGAAATGTGCTAGTTGGAGTTTAATGGGTAAACATGAATGATTGACAGCAAGAACAGAAATCAGCATTTTGTTTAAATAGAAAAAGATTAGAGAACTCTGTGGTACACAGGAATCTAGATGTCCAGGTATATGAATCACAATAAAACAGCACACAAGCACATCAACTTTAGCAAGGCAAATGAATTTTTTCTTCTCGTTGGGAAACGGAACTTAAAGATAGGGACATTTTGCCACAATTATACAGGGGTAAGACCATATACAGAGTTATGTGCACAGCTGTCATCTCCTTACTTAAAGTATATAATTGCATCTGAAGCAGTTTCATTTGACTGATTGATGAGATGAAAGTATCACTTTATGAGGTAAGGTTGGACATGTGAACATTGGTGTTTAGAAGAATGAGAGAGGATCTTGTTGAAACAAGAGACTGAGGAGACTTGATGGGGTGGATACTGGGAAGACATTTCCTCACCCAGGGGAGGAGAGAGGGCAGAGATAAGGAGAATTTCTTTCTCTTAAAGGTTTGTTAATCTGTGGAATTCTCTACCTAGTGAGCGAGGGACACTGGGTATCAATATTTTTAAGGCTGAGTTAAACAGATTCTTGATTAACAAGGAAGTCAAAGGGTTTAGGAGCCAGAGAGGAAAGTAGTTTTAAGGTCACATTCAAGTTAGCCAACACCTCATCAAATAGCAGAGCAGCCCAGAGGAGCTGAATGGCTTAAGTCTGCTCCCAAGTATGTTGGTATACCTGTGAGATTAATGATCAGAATTAAAGTTATGATGTTACAGTTTATAAAATAAAATTCAAAACAAATAGTTTTGAGGCCCTGAATAATTCTTGCGTCGCCCTGTGGAAACACTCAAGCGTCTTCTTTCATATATAAAAATGCTGTGAAAAATGATAATTTTCTCAAGCACTATCTTTTAAATTATTTTGAAACGTTAAGTCAATCCAGTTAGTTTCAATGGGAAGAGCAGCATAGTGGCAATGTCACTGACTTGTAGTCCAGAGGCTCACTCAAATCACATAATGGCAGCTGGTGGAATTTAGAGTCAGGTCATTAAATCTGCAATTGAATAATGGTCTTAATCATCATGACCACGAAATTATAATTAATTGTCATTAAAACACATCTAATTCATTTACGTCCTTCAGAGAAGGAAATCTGACATCCTTGTAGAGCCTGGCCTACATACTTTCCAGACCTACAGTGATACGACTGCCTCTGAACTGACCGAGCAAGCCACTCAGTTCAAGGGCAATTAGGAATAAGCAAAAAAAAAATCCAGCCTTGATAGTGATGCCCACTTCTCATAAGTGATTAAAAAATACCCACCACATTCATAAACGTTAAAGCAGGAAGCAGAGATGTGTTGTGAGTCGTACTCTCTCTGATAAATTAATTTCTTATCCTCTTATCCCAAGCAGCATATAGATCATAATAATAGGATAAAAACACTGTTTTCTCCTTCTGTTCAGGAACTAGATACTTATCTGATATCAACACCATAAAGCTGTTTAGTTAACAGTTAATCTTGGGTTTATAATTATAAACCTCTTTGTTGAAAATCAGTATACAGCAGTTCATTGAAAGCATGTCAGATGATAGAATTGTTTCCATTTCAGGAATTGTAGTTATAAGTAAACATTAGTCTTCCACACAGTCTAAGAACATAATAGATAAGAGCACAGTAGACCATCTGGCCCTTGAAGCACACTCCACCACTCATAAGATCATAGCTATTCTGATTGGAGCCTCAAACCTGTGTTTCTGCCTAAGCCACATAATGTTAATTCCCTTGTAGATCAAAAATCTGTCTAATCAAATAGGTGAGCACATTTAATCCCTAAATTGTAAAGTATTGAGAAGGCTGCAGCATGGATTTAAGACACAAAACCTGAAGAAACGAACATGTTTCCATACAGAGCTCAAATAGGTGTTTCAATTCTTTCTAAACGTTTGTGCTTGCTATTAACTATTCCCACGAGAGGGAATGATAATGGTTTTAAAGTTGAGCAATGGCACAGTGGGTTGCTGGTTCAACAAAGCTACCTATTACGTCCTGGTAAAAATATCAGGTCATTAATGACTCATTCCTCAGGGATAGACATGGTGTGAGCCTGACAGGTTTTCCAAGGAAGGACTCTTACATTCAGCAGCATTAGATGGCAATATTCCAAGGGATCACTTAACCTTGAATTCTGTATTTTGAGATTGTTTCCAGGATAATTACCAGTGTGTTTTTACAATTACTAATCATTGCTAATCTAAAGGCAGTACTTAAAGCTTTCAAGAATGGACCCTTTACACGTCATGGAACAAACTGAATGAAGAAAGACCCTTTTTCTCTCTCACATCTGATTTTAATTAAAATGGCTGGATTTTCAAATTATCAACATAATAGGAGGGATAATTAAAGGGCAGTTTGTGTTGAAATTAAACATTTTAACTTTTTAAAAATTCAATTTCAATAATAACATGATAATCAAGCTGTCTTTGTATACAAAGCACAAACATTATAATGAGTATGTAGTCAGCAATTTCTTTTCTCAAATTGTTCTACTCTCTATAATAGAATGGTTATTGCAACACACATGCACTACAGGAGGCAGCAACAAACACTTAAATGTTCTTTGCACGACAAATGGTAGCTACACTTCTAACTGATTCACGGGATATAAAATGCTTTAGAACATTTAAGGTCATAAAAGGTGCTATTTTTTTCACCACTGAAGCTCCATCATAATTATCAACAAATCCCTAAAGAATCTAAATGCTCCTCAAATTGTACAAAAAGTTAAATTATGCCATACAATGATGCATGCAGTAAGTATACATACATCTATCAGCATTGCAATGTATGAATGTGAAACATTATCCCAAAATAGATCTGTACTTGCTTTAAGGCTATAAAGTTTATTTGTCGTGTAATCAAAGCTTGGATCAATTATAGAGTTCAATGTCTTGGTTTGGTAAGATGTGGATCGGAAAACACTCGTCAATATCAAGCTGGTGGAGAGAAGCATTCAGCATTAGACAATGTGTATCATGCATTCAGATGTACTGGCTGACAGAGAATTACACAATCTTACCATTAGGTTGTCTCTGCTGGTTAAATACATGTATGTCCATAGGAGAGAAAATATTGCGGTGCACTTCCCGGCGATAATCTCCAGTGTATTTGTTGCATGCGTGAATGGAATGAGTGTTCCAATCTGTCCAATATAAAGTGTCTCCAAACAACGTTAAAGCGAACGGATGTGGAAGTGAGCCTTCAACCACCACTTGCCTGACAAAACAAAAATGCAGATTAAATGAAAATTACAATGCTTCCCAGTTTTAGACTAAAATATGAAGTAAAATGAATTTCCCAACCAAAGCTGATGAAAAGCACAATTTGCATACCAGCTGTTAGAAGCTTTGCACTGCAATTAAATGTCTAGCAACTTCAAAAGAATAAGACAAAAATACATAAAAACAGCTTCTGTAGCCACAAAATTAAAAGCTTCTCACAGCCATGAGTCTGCATACATAGTAGTGTGTGATCGTAATTCCTAAGCTTTCAGCCCAGATATGACAGTTATGAGCTTGATGGAAAGAGGTTTAAAGGAGATTTAAATAACTAATTACTGTAGACGCTGGTGATTCAAATTGAAAACAAAGTGCTGAAGAAACTCAACAGATATGACAGCACCTAGAGAGAGGAACAGTTAACGTTTCAAGTTCAATATAACTTTTTTTGGAATAGTGAAGGACTGGAAAATTATAGTTTATTTTATTTTATTGACAAAGAGATATGGGGAGCAAATTAAACAAACGGCAAGGATGCCCAGGGAAAAAGACAAAGGGAGGGTTCATGGTGGTAGAGAAGTGATATGGATATATAGAATAGGTGTTAATGGCAAATGCGACTGGTAGAAGACAAGTCAGGTAATCAATGCAAAACAGGACCACAGGAGGCAGGGGTGGGTATGAAAACAGAGGACACAGTGTTCATGCACTGAAGTTGCTGAACTCAAATGTTGAATTCGGTAGGCTATAAAGTACCTAAGTGAAAAATACGGTGTGGGTCCTCCAGCTTGCTTGGGTTTTGCTGCAAAACTACAGCAGGCCTAGGAGAGAAACAGTGTATTGAAATGACAGGCAAATGACGAAGGAGTGAACCAAAGTGTTGCAGAGGGAACTGTCCCTGTAGAATGCTGACAAGGGAGCGGAGAAGATAATTGATTTGGTTGTGGCATACTGCTGGAATTGGTAGGGAAGGCAGAGGATGATCCTTTGACTGTAGTGGAAAGTGAGGACATGGTAAACACTATCATTGTTCTTGGAGGGAGGGAAAGAAGCAAGATCAGAACTGTGTGAAATGGGTCAGACATCGTTAGTCAAAGACAGTATTACAGTGGCAGAAAGGACGTTTGATAAGGACTCGTCTACTGAGGTAGTATGGGCTGAGGTTAGAAACAGGAAAGGAGAGGTCACCCTGTTGGGAGTTTTCTATAGGCCTCCGAAAAATTCCAGAGATGTAGAGGAAAAGATTGCAAAGATGATTCTGGATAGGAGCGAAAGTAACAGGGTAGTTGTTATGGGGGACTTTAACTTTCCAAATATTGACTGGAAACGCTATAGCTCGAGTACTTTAGATGGGTCAGTTTTTGTCCAATGTGTGCAGGAGGGTTTCCTGACACAGTATGTAGATAGGCCAACAAGAGGCGAGGCCACATTGGATTTGGTACTGGGTAATGAACCAGGCCAGGTGTTGGATTTGGAGGGAGGTGAGCACTTTGGTGATAGTGACCACAATTTGGTTACGTTTACTTTAACGATGGAAAGGGATAGGTATATACCGCAGGGCAAGAGTTATAGCTAGGGGAAAGGCAATTATGAGACGATGAGGCAAGATTTAGGATGCACAGGATGGAGAAGGAAACTGCAGGGGCTGGGCACAATTGAAATGTGGAGCTTGTTCAAGGAACAGCTACTGTGTGTCCCTGAGAAGTATGTACCTGTCAGGCAGGGAGGAAGTGGTCGAGCGAGGGAACCGTGGTTTACTAAAGAAGTTGAATCTCTTGTCAAGAGGAAGAAGGAGGCTTATGTAGAGAAGAGTCGTGAAGGCTCAGTTAGGGCGCTTGAGAGTTACAAGTTAGGCAGGAAGGCCCTAAAGAGAGAGCTAAGAAGAGCCAGGAGGGGACATGAGAAGTCTTTAGCAGGTAGGATCAAGGAAAACCCTAAAGCTTTCTATAGGTATGTCAGGAATAAAAGAATGACTAGAGTAAGATTAGGGCCAGTCAACGACAGCAGTGGGAAGTTGTGCGTGGAGTCCGAAGAGATAGGAGAGGCGCTATATGAATATTTTTCGTCAGTATTCACACAGGAAAAAGACAATGTTGTCGAGGAGAATACTGAGATACAGGCTATTAGACTAGAGGGGATTGAGGTTCATAAGGAGGAGGTGTTAGCAATTCTGGAAGGTGTGAAAACAGATAAGTCCCCTGGGCGGGATGGGATTTATCCTAGGATTCTCTGGGAAGCTAGAGAGGAGATTGCAGAGCCTTTGGCTTTGATCTTTATGTCGTCATTGTCTTCAGGAATAGTGCCAGAAGACTGGAGACTAGCAAATGTTGTCCCCTTGTTCAAGAAGGGGAGTAGAGACAACCCTGGTAATTATAGACCTGTGAGCCTTACTTCGGTTGTGGGTAAAGTGTTGGAAAGGATTATAAGAGATAGGATTTATAATCGTCTAGAAAGGAATAATTTGATTAGGGATAGTCAACACGGTTTTGTGAAGGGTAGGTCGTGCCTCACAAACCTTATTGAGTTCTTTGAGAAGGTGACCAAACAGGTGGATGAGGGTAAAGCGGTTGATGTGGTGTATTTGGATTTCAGTAAAGCGTTTGATAAGGTTCCCCACGGTAGGCTATTGCAGAATATACGGAGGCATGGGATTGAGGGTGATTTAGTGGTTTGGATCAGAAATTGGCCAGCTGTAAGAAGACAGAGGGTGGTGGTTGATGGGAAATGTTCATCCTGGAGTTCAGTTAGAAGTGATGTACCTCAAGGATCTGTTTTGGGGCCACTGCTGTTTGTCATTTTTATAAATGACCTGGATGAGGGCGTAGAAGGATGGGTTAGTAAATTTGCGGATGACACCAAAGTCGGTGGAGTTGTGGATAGTGCGGAAGGATGTTGCAGGTTACAGAGGGACATAGATAAGCTGCAGAGCTGGGCTGAGAGGTGGCAAATGGAGTTTAATGCAGAAAAGTGTGAGGTGATTCACTTTGGAAGGAGTAACAGGAATACAGAGTACTGGGCTAATGGTAAGATTCTTGGTAGTGTGGATGAGCAGAGAGATCTCGGTGTCCATGTGCATAGATCACTGAAAGTTGCCACCCAGGTTGATAGCGTTGTTAAGGTGGCGTATGGTGTGTTAGGTTTTATTGGTAGAGGGATGGAGTTTCAGAGCCATGAGGTCATGTTGCAGCTGTACAAAACTCTGGTGCGGCCGCATTTGGAGTATTGCGTACAGTTCTGGTCACCGCATTATAGGAAGGATGTGGATGCATTGGAAAGGGTGCAGAAGAGATTTACCAGGATGTTGCCTGGTATGGAGGGAAGGTCTTATGAGGAAAGGCTGAGGGGACTTGAGGCTGTTTTTGTTAGAGAGAAGGTTAAGAGGTGACTTGAGAGACATACAAGATGATCAGAAGATTAGATAGGGTGGACAGTGGAAGCCTTTTCCCTCGGATGGTGATGGCCAGCACGAGGGGACATAGCTTTAAATTGAGGGGTGATAGATATAGGACAGATGTCAGAGGTAGGTTCTTTACTCAGTAGTAAGGGCGTGGAATGCCCTGCCTGCAAAAGTAGTAGACTCGCCAACTTTAAGGGCATTTAAATGGTCATTGGATAAACATATGGATGATAATGGAATAGTTTAGGTTAGAAGGGCTTCAAATTGGTTTCACATGTAGGCGCAACATCGAGGGCCGAAGGGCCTGTACTGCGCTGTAATGTTCTATGTTCTATGTCTGATATCACGGTCAAGCAGGATGAGGGCAAATCCTCAATTGAGGAAAAAGGAAGAGATGTTGGAAGCATCCCTGTGGAAGGTGGATTTAACAGTCAGAGTCATACAGATATACAGCATAGAAACAGACCAACTTGCCCATGCCAACCAGCATTTGGCCCACATCCCTCTAAACCCTCCCTATTCATAAACCATACAGATGTCTTTTAAATGTTGTAATTGTACCAGCCTCCAACACTTCCTCTGGCTGCTCATTCCATGCACACACCACTCTCTGCATGAAAAAGTTGCCCCTTAGATTCTTTTTAAATCTTTCCCGTCTTACCTTAAACATATGTCCCGTAGTTTTGGGCTTACTCCACCCAGGGGAAAAGACCTTGTCTATTTACCTATCCATGCCCCTCATGATTTTATAAACCTCTAAGGTCATCCCTCAGCCTCCAACATTGCAGGGAAAATAGCCCCAGACTATTCAGCCTCTCCCTATAGGTCAAAGCCTCCAACCTTGGCAACATCGTTGTAAATCTTTTCTGAACCCTTTCAAGTTTCACAACGTCTCTCCTATAGCAGGGAGACCAGAACTGAATGCAATATTCCAAAAGTGGCCTAATCAATATTCTGTACAGCTGCAATATGACCTCCTAACTCCTATACTCAATGCACTGACCAATAATGGCAAGCAGACCAAATGCCTTCTTTGCTATCTCGTCCACCTGCGATTCCACTTTCAAGGAACTATGAACCTGCACTCCAAAGTCTCTCCATTCAGCCAACACTCCCCAGGACCTCACCATTAAGGTATACAAGTCCTGCCCTGATTTGCCTTTCCAAAATGCAGCACCTCACATTTATCTAAATTAAACTCCATCTGCCACTCCTCATCCCATTGGCCCATCTGATCAAGATCCCATTGTACTCTGAGCTAACCTTCTTCGCTGTCCACTACACCTCCAATTTTGGTGTCATCTGCAAACTTACTGACCGTATGTTCACATCCAAATCATTTATATGAATGATGAAAAGCAGTGGACCCCACACCGATCCTTGTGACGCACCTCTGGTCACAGGCCTCCAGTCTGAAAAGCAACCCTTCACCACCACTCTTCTACCTTTCAGCCAGTTCTTTATCCAAATGGCTAGTTCTCCCTGCATTCCGTGTGATCTAACCTTGCTAACCAGTCTACCATGAAGAACCATGCCCTGATTCCATGTACCTTACTTGTTAGGCCTCTTACATTGAAATAATTGCAGTTTAATTTCAGTCC